ACGAGCCGCACGCGCCGTTCGCATAAATGCCGACGTGGGAATTATTCGACGCTCGTCATTTTCGCAATCGCTTTAAACATTAATAATGGACACACATCGTTTCCGATTTCGAGTGTGCGAGCGACGCGCGCGCTTAACATTTGCAAAATCATTGACGGACTGCAATATCGCCACAACTCTAGCATACAAAAGGAGAAGCGAACGGACGGTCAATAAATAAGTTTTAAGTGCCGATATTCCGAAATTATCGAGCATCACTTTCGACACCAATCCGATTATTGATCCTTTTATTTCAAATTTTTTTTTTGTTAACTCTGAAGCAGTCGCGTGACGGGTGACGCATGTCATTCAGTCTTTTCATATCTCGTCGAAATGTCGATGAAATCAAGCGATGCCCAATGTAATTTCATGCTGGATGCAGAAATAGGCATGCGAGAGATTTATTTGAAAAAAATTTTACAAGTTATTCTGACAAACTTGCTTTTTTTTAGACAAAGCCGGTCGAGAGTTAAATATCTTGTTTCTTATTTTTGATTATTTTTCAGATATTCGGACGAGCTTTAGTGATATTTTTATTCTCCTAACGCAGAACAGAAATGATTGACGCTAGGCTGAATAAATTAACGCGAAGCTATCGCAAGAGGATCATTTTTAATTACAGTATCGGATTCATTCAATTTATCGAGAAACAGTGGGAGGTGGAACAACCGCCGGTATCGAGCAACACCCATTTCGCGGATACACCCGAGTCGATATCTCCCGAACGATCTCGTGATCGATGCAAGATGCATATTCGCCAAGGCCGTGGAGTTTCGCCTTTTTCCCTTTCCTTCCCTTCCCCTCCACGGCTCTTGTTTGCCGATCGGTACATCGATTCTACGTGCCGGTATATCGCCGCGGCGCGGGCGTTTCGCAATGGGAATCGTCGTGGCCGCTCGCCGCGTCGAGGGAAAACGACAAACGACAGCGCTGGATCTAAAGGAGGATCCACATTATCGAGCCAAACCGCGAGCCGAACTTCGTCGCGAACCGACATTGTCGAGCCGATAAAGTTCGGCTCGATAATGTAGACGCATGATCGGTTTGCGGCGAAGTTCGGCGGTTTGGCTCGATAATATGGACTCTCCTTAAGGATTTTCAACGTGGTCGGGCACGTTGCTCAAGTGCGATCAAGGGGTGGGTAGAGCGAGGCGTTACCTCGTGCAGCGTAAAATCTTCCCATGTCGGTTGCGGAACGCAGAAGCGTAACGAGAACGCTCGATCGTTCGTCGAACGGACAATAAAAAATATCCCACTTTTAACTCGGACAGACGCTCGGATTTGTGGTAAAATTCGCCATTTAATTAACACTGGATTTTATTTAGAAAGAAATCTCAGAGAGAGAAGGCCTTTATATCTGTTGAGAAAAGATGCGACTCTGACGCGACTTAAAATAACCATTGAGATGCGATATTGGCGTTGAATTCGCGATGGAATGCCTCGCTTCAGGCCTGCAAATATATAGGCAGAGATGATATTTCGACGAAATATGATTTGACCTCGCGTTAATTAGCCTGGCATTCATCGGCAGCCGTTTAGCTTTAGCTTCTCGGTTCGCCTCGTCTCGTTTAAGTCACCGCCTTATACATCACCGGTAAATAAACGAGCGAGAGATCGCTCCGGACGCGGGGGCTGCGCGATAAGGAGGCGGTGGACGAAGAGGGGAGACACGAAACACGAGGCCGAGGTACATACGTTCGAACGCTTTTTTCCCGGCCGCGCCGGTCGACCGGGGACCGGAGCTTGTGGATTCGGGCCATTCGTCAAGGCCCGAGATAACCGGCGAGGCTTTTGGCACCCGAGGAATGGCACCGAGGGTGCAATAACCCGGGTGCGCGACGCATGCACGCACGGGACGACGTTCTCTGGCACGGGCATCGCATCGGTCGCCTCTCGTTCCCCGCTTCGGTTTAAGTATATACCGATGCGGAACGCCGTGTTCTACTGCATGCGCCTTCGTCGATGACGTTAGAGACGAGACGTATACGTCTCCGCGAGTCTCGCTCCTTCGTCGGCCCCGGTTCCATTTCTGGGATCGCACACCGGCTTTCTTCACGCGCGAAAAGTAGAGCGACGACTTTTTCTTTCGGGCAAAATCAGTAAAACAAAATCGGGACGGTCGGGTTCCACGAAGGTGGTCTCGATATGGCGAAGGCGAGACTCTCAAGATTAATTGGGACGTTTCCTCGAAATGGAATTTAAATGGAAGGAATTTAATTTAGAATGTATACTCTTTTAATAATCGATAATTTTTAATTTAACAATTATTATGCATGAAAGACGTAAATGGGACACCTTGTCTATCGAATGTCCCTAAGTAAAGTTCCTTAATATAATTTTTACTACAATTTAATTTCTTTTATCTTTATTTTCTCTGAGCCTTGTAGCAACGTATAAACTTGTGATATGTACTTAATAAAGTTATTATTATTAATTATATACCGGGTTCTCGTGAGGATCGATTTAAAAAGCGCTCGGCCCGATTAGGATCGAGCGTAAATCGGAGTAACGTCGCCGTATTTATACGGTGGCAAGGTCTCGTTCCTTCGATCGAGGTCCAACGAGCGACGGTCGCCAATGGAAACCGTCGCGATATCCGGCGACGTTACCGGGAGTCGTGCGGCCTAATCTTCGAGGTCGGCGTTTTCTTATCGGGACATTTTTTCTTCCTTTCTTTTTTTTAACGTACGCGAATCCAGGCACGATCGCGATCGCGTTATCGCGGCCACCGGCGTCAATGCCAGCCGAGGTCGTGGATTTCTATCGCGACTCGCGGTTATTATCTTGTTGCGTGCGCGCGTACACGCTATCGACCGATACCGGAAGCTATCATGCGTTATCGCGGATCCCGCGCTCGGTGGGGAATTCCCAGATATGCCGAAAACAACGAGCCAAAATGAGTTGGAGCTGAGTGAGTCGCTTTAACGAGTCGATGATGATGAGATATTTTTAGCCGCGTCGGTAAGAACTTTCTTTTTATCAGGATAAAAAAAACACGAAAGAAAAAGGTGTAGGTGTGAAATAAACAAAAAAAAAAAGAGTTATTTATGGTTGGCCTATTTACGTTAAGACGCGATACATATAACAGATGATTATTCTTGTCTTAATTATACTTCACAGCGTTAAAATTAAATAATATATGTAATATCGGATACGCAGACCGGAATGAGAAAGTTTCGTTTCAATCTGACGGTACGGAGGACAATGTTAGAGATAAGAGTCATACACTGATTTTATAACATTATCCCATTTTATGCGTTTTGCATTCCGTAATAGCCGATTTCTCGTCGTCTCCCTTCCGCGCCTCCATATTATAGGAAAGAAAAAAAAATGATAGCGCGCTCGGGGCTCCGTGCTTCCGCTCGTTGCTCTTATAGCGCGGCTTTTTTATCGCGCGCGCGCGCGTTTTACACGCACGCGTGTTTATTTCGGTCGATTTCCGCTTCGCGGTAGCGGTTGCATCAGCAGCAGCAGCAGGCCTCGCGATAGCGCCGTGGCGTGCGTGCGAACCGGGTCGCGGTGGACTTTGATTGTCGCAGAAATATATACGACGCAAAGTCCGGACGCAAAGAAACGGACTTCTTCCTTTCTTTTCTTTTCTTCAAATTATCATCGCCTCGCGTTACCATTTCCTGCCTGCGCGTTATATACCTTATATACCGTTTTTAGAGTTGATGCAACTCGCACGCGGCGCGGATAAAAGCCCATCAGGGTCTCGCGCACTCTTAAACCGGTATAAATCGCGTGTTTTTCTCGACCCGCGGCCGGGTGCCTCGAGTCGAGAGGCTTCAAAACGGACGGAATCGTGACGGACTCCAACGTCGGCGATTTATTTAAAAAGCCGAGGGAAGCCGATATATAGACCGGGATGTGTTTATATGCCGAGACGCGGCGAGGCGATCGCGACCCAATTCTGTCCGACTGTTGCATATAAGTATTTTTCATCGACTCTGTGCACGACTCCCCTTCTCTCCTCCGCTTCGTGGAGGCTCCCCCCCCCCTCGGTCGTATCGCTTTCTTCCGTCACGTCGCTTTTCGAAATGCCAAACTGCGACAGCTCTCTCGGTTTAACTGCACTCGCTCTAACGGGAATATTTCCAACCATTGCCGATCTTCCTATCGGTATAACGCGAGATTCGGGCCTCTCTTCTGATGGGAACAGGTCGCAGATGTGACCGGAAACTCTTTTCGCGAAAGAACCGTAACGATTTTACGGAACGAATCCTGATCTCGTTATATCGCAACCCAATATAATGAAACCAGTTTCTCAGATGTAATGAACCAATTACTCAGATAAAGTCTACAGAACCTTTTAGACTTGCGTAAAAGCAAAGCGTTTCTCGATCACTAACGATTGACTATGAATAAATGCTGTTACAGTAAATGTGGCACTTTTTATCAATAAATAGATAGCTTTGTATGTGTCGAGGGGGGGGGGAGGAAGAATCAGGAGCTATTATTTCTACAAACTACTCTTCTAAAGATAAAATAATAATCTCTACTAAAAATATTATATCCTTTTCCTAATGCATTATTAAATATTCAGCATATGGTTGAAGATCCGATCTTTGTTTGATAACTATTATAGTAAATGTGGCACTTTTATCAATAAATAGACAGCTTTATACTTTGTACGTGTCGAGTTAATATTTCTACAAGCAACTCTTCTAAAGAGGAAATAATTTCTACTAAAACAATTATATCTTTTTCTTAATGCTTTATTAAATATCTAGCATATGGTTCCGATCTGCGTTTGATAACTAAAATATAATGTTAATGATTCTCAGAGAACTAAATACGTCAGTTTTCTAAAGCTCCAGTCTCCACGATAATTCTGCGATAAATATCATTTAAATTTGTTTAAATGCCCAGAGCGCTGTCCGATCGCTTTTATATCTCACTATCACGGCAATCGTGGCGATAAAGTTGCTAAACCATCCTCGTTGATATTCTTGTTTCAGGCAGCTGCGCGAAGGAACACTCGCGGAAAACGGCCTACAGAACGACAGTCGGCTGACGCTGCTGCCGAGCGTGGAAACCGGATTGTTGGTGAGTTGAACACTCCCGTGTCCTGCACTTGCACGGCACGTGTGGGTATTAATCAAGTCGACCTACGACGCGCACTCCGGCGCGGGTAATGAGTAGTTTATCGGCGCGACTTTTATCGCCGTGAAGACGGACCGTCGACTCGCGGTGGAAAGTCCAGTAAATTTAGTCTGCCCCCCTCCCCCGTTTTTCTTCTTGGTATTAAGGAGAAACATTTTGTACGATTGCTGGGAATTACATAAGATCTATTTACAGAACGGAAAGATATACATATATATACCGGAATAGAGATATGCCAAAAACCCTTCTTTGTTTCTTCGAGTTCTGTCGCGAATTAGAGATTTATCCGACAGAGATAAGCCCGAAACGGGCTCGGGGTTCAGGTTCCCGATTGCTTCCATCTGCCGTCTCGGCGAAACTCCGACAAGCGGAGTTTCCAGCTGGTGGATTGCTCGCGCGACCGACGCGGTATACGCATACGCCGCCGTCTGGTTTTTCCGTCGCGTCCGCGATCGCAACCCGGATTCTCGCGCGCCCCGGCACACCGGCTCCCTGGAACGGTTCCTCGCTCCGTTCCGCCGCCCGGCGCGGAGGACGCGCCGCCGGTGACTCGGGCAACGGAGGAGAGCGTACACGGAGGCGCGGACAAACGCCGTTAACTCGCCGGCGTTCGCGTGTGTATTCGCCGGGTCACTTGGTTTCTCGGTCATATCGTCCCCGACACCTTTATCCTCCGCGGATCCGGCCCGCTCGCGATTCATCGCGATCGACGCGCAACCTTGTCCCCTCGGCCCTTCCAGTCCTTAAATGAAACGAACGTTTAACCCTTCGTAGTCACACTTCTCTAGAATCCCGCGGTAGTGTCACACTGGGTCGCATTGACGCAGTCGACTTTTAATGGTTGCCATTTTAATGGTATCGGTCTGATCGGGTTCAAATAATTCTGGAACATACCTTGAACATTCTGGAATATAAAACAACTGCGGTTTTGTGAGAAATCAAATGGTAACATGTTGAAAAAAAATCGTGAACGAGTACATGATTAACGGTCTTTACCTGTAGAGGATACTTCAAACTCTTGTAGATGGCGGACCAAGTCCTATTTTAAGCCAGGCATTTAGCTGATATTTACAATTAGATCCAAATGAAGGTGGGTCAAATTGACCCATGTGTGACTACGAAGGGTTAAGTATCTCGTTTTCATTTCAATGTTGTTTAGCGGAAATTTAGCGCTATCGTAGCCAATCCACGCGAATCGCGATTGTTACGTTAATATTAAAAAAAAATGTATTACAATATTATATTATACGCGTGTGCGAAGCTTATATAAAATTATTTGGTACTTTACACGTGTAATTGTATATCATCAGTTACGGTGACTTAATTAGATTCGCCTTGATGTAATTAATGTCAATTAATTTAATTTAATTCCGTGCAATTAATACCGGAACCTTTTTTCGTACAGTGTGACACAAATTTCGACCTTAGAACACGCTCGTCGCGCGCGGAAACATCTGGCCGCGGAACGATCTGTTACAGAAATCGGAGCGCGTAAACACACATGACGCCACGGCCATATGACTTCGGGCGATGTAATGTTTCGTAAGGTTTGGACTCGAAGTAGCGTAACGTAACGTAACTCCAGCTCGGCCCTAACCGGCCGCGACGCGACACACAGGTGCTGCTGTTCCGCGCGCGGAACACCCAGCCTTTTAGGAAACAAGGTGTAGCAACGTCACGGAAACGGTTCTCCCCCTCTCGTTTGTGCGTTTCCGCTTAAGAACCGCGGAGGATATTGTCGAGTCGAACAAAACGCGAAACGAAACTTAAACGTGTAACGCTCGAAACTTCCTCAGGCCATTCGCGAGGTCTGAGGAAGAGCCGCGTGTAACCCTTTGCTTCATCGGGCGATGCCGCTAATTCGACTGTCGATTGCTCGAAACCATCCGTTTGCTTCTGAGAACAATAAGAATAATATTATTGCGCGCACACACAAGATTGGTTTACGATAAGTCGGAAAATGACAAAGAACACGAACGAACAAAAGATGTATACACGCGAAAGGTAAGACGCCAGCGAAACTGCCGTTGGCTACGACGCTTATCTAATAAAAACAAGATAATCAGAGCGCAAGGTGGACGGAACGAAAAAATAGACGTAGACTAGAACGTAAGACGGAATAATGCCACAGAGGTAATTTGGTATAATCAGAGGCGACAAACGCGTTGCAAATTTCACGACAGTCTTGATTCTCCGGCCGTGCCTCGGATTTCGTCTCTCGCTTCGCGAACGATCTCTCAGTTTCGGAGGCGTTTCTAAGCCTTTCCGGGGGTTAAGGGGTTGAAGGCATCAGGGTAGGGGAGCCGAACGAGGCTTTCTCTCTTTCCTCCCGTGTCTGAAATTGACTCTGACCCGGGCTAGCAACAGCGCGCGCGGGCGCGTGCGCACGTTTCCCCGGGTTCTTATCGCGCGAGCGACCGAGACTTGTTCGCATAGCTGTCAAGGGGGTCCGGCCCGCTCGGCTCGGCTCAGCTCGGCTCTCTCGGTCACCCGCAGTCAATTTTAAAGTCGGCCTCTGCGTTGGCTCCGGTCCCTACGTGCCATGCCGGCCGTATACGCCTGTGTATGCGTTGCGTGCACGTCTCCCTTTCTCTCTCTCCTGCGCGCCCTCGCCTTTAGCCCTCTCCCCGTTCTCTTTCTCTCTCTCTAGCCGCGATCAGGCCTACAGGGCGTCGCGGAAAAAAGGACACGTCTCGGTGCGTGCCGTAATTATTTCCGCTGTACGCTATACGCGACGGTTGTACTCGTGAATATTCGCCCGAGAATTAGATTCCCGGCTCGATACACCGTTGAACATTTTTTTTGGCAGATGGAATTATTTTCTGTACGTATCCAGCTGACGTATACATTTTTTTTCCCAGAAATCGCGTCCATTTAGCTAAATTAAAAACTTTTTGTTGCAAATATTTGTAAAAATCTTTTGCAGCGTCAGGAAATGAATCTGGGCCTCTTCAAGATCGTGTCAGTTTCGATTCCGACGCTTTTTATTCGAAGGAAGGTTTTACGGAACTTCCGCGAGCGTTTGCGAGTGGCTTGTAGCTGCTCTTCGGTCCACCCTGTAGATATCACTCGTGGGTGGTTTTACGGGGCAGGGGAGCGAGGCGAGACCTACGGGCCGGGTTCACACAGCTCGGCTGCGAGAGCGAGCGCCTCGCGATCGAAGAGCAGCGTTTCGTAGCGCGATTTATCTCTGCGCCTTCCTTTTTTCCTCGTCCGAGCGCTCGCCCGACGATCCGCGAGAGAGAGAGAAAGAGAGAGAGAGAGAGAGAGAGAGAGAGAGAGAGAGAAAGAAAGAGAGAAAGAGAGCCCGGTCGGCTTTTCGGACTCGGACTTCGTCCGGCGACCAGCTCTCTCGCTTGGCTCGCGAAATCACCGTTAGACGTTGGCAAAATGGCAGAATCCATCTTCGCCGGAGTTCGATTAATTTTCGTGCTCCTGGTCCAGTCCGCGACTCGACCTTTTTTTCTTTTTCCCCCCTTTTTTCTTTACGCGTCGCGCCCCCGTGGCATTTCCCAAGCCGTTCGTCGAGGTTTCAACCTCGACCCTCTGAATTACTCCTGTCGAATCCGTCCACCGATATTCCGGTGAAAGTTCTCACGGCGGTTAGAGATGTAATCTTTCGTATCTCCACCGGGTGCACATTATTGCATATCGTTAGTCTCGTTAATTCATTCGCGCGCTACATTTCTCGCTGGTCATTTTTTATTTTACAATGCGCGTGACGTTCCTGGATATTTTAAGACGCTTTTTCCGTACGAATAAAAATTTACGACAGCGATCGCGCGAGAGAGAAAACATGTGGGAAGTCACGTGTAACTTTTAACCGTATTTTATTTTAAGAAATATTTAAGGGGGGCGCTAAACACGAATTCGGCGAAGATTGGATTCTGTCATTAATCATTGATAGAAGTATAGTTGTTTTCTAAGATAAGATAAGAGCTTCTCTAAACTTTTTTCAAAACAGATTATCTGCCGTGATTTATTTTTAAATATATCGCCATGCACCACCGATCGTTCGATATCTTTCGAAAACACTAAAAATTTCTTTTGAAATGCTTCAAGTGTCCAAATAGAACACTAGAGAATTACCAAAGCAGTCAAAATGACTGAGTTGCAATTTTTTTAAATTATTTAAATTTATAATTGCATTTTCTGAGATTTTCCGAAATTTTTCTTGCAAAACAAAAATGATTAAATTCAACAATTTCCTTTTTTCAAAGATATATACTAGTATAATAAATAGCAGGAAATGAATAATAGAAATTAACCGTCGGTAGTTCCAGTATTAAAGACGATAGCCTTCTAAGCGCCATCCTTTCTAAAACCTCCCAGCCTCTTCCGTCCTCGTCGCACGTATCGCTCGACTTAACTACTTTATCCAGTCTTTGGATTTCCGGCGTTTTGGCTTAAACGGCAAACAAGATTATCACGTTAAGGCGTATACGATACACACCCACTTTACGGTAAATTGATTTCGCGGCCGAAGATGACGGCAGGCACCAATCGGTGCGTGCGTCGGCTGCTATTTCCGTCGGAAATACAGCGGCCAACGGCCGCTATTAACCGTTGGGATAATTGCATGGAGTTATAGACGGATTATCATCGCATTTGCTCTCGTGCCGACCGAGAGTTTTCCTTTCATTTCTGGAATTTCAATGGAAATGAATTAAGGGAGAAGCGCGTATAGCCGGAGGATCGAATCGAGAGCCATTTTTATTTTTCTCAGGAAAGCGAGACTATTTCCGCGTGAAAAAAACATCCGCGAAAGTATCCGATATAAAATTCAGTTATCGCATTTTATACGTTTTTTTTTTATTGCAACAAAGAGAAAAGTCTGAAATTCGATAAATTGATATCCAAGCGAGAGTCACGTTACATCGAGAGATTTGATTTTCACGAATATATTTATAGCTATATTTTTCCTTGGCTTTTTACATCCAATTTCATTTAATTCAGCTAGCGGAAAGCGAACAAGTTCATCGTCAGTTACGCGATCGACCACGTCAGCGTTCAATCTACTCTTGACCCGTATCGCTTTTATTATCGCTTTCACTCGTTTAGTTTAGTTAGTATCAGCTTTCGAGAAGTTCCGTAGCGGCGTAGGGATCTCTTCGCGTAAGTTCTCGCACGTATACGCTCTCGATTGCTCGAGAGCGCAACTAGTTTTAACAGTTCAACACTTTTCCGGGAGCTCGGAAAAATTTATTTTACAATTTGAGGAGGTCAGCTTTGCGACGTAAATCAAACGACCATTTTCTTTCTCGGGGAGTTTTTAAAGAGCGAGTCGCAGAGCCACTTCGCAATCCTTAAACGGTCCATCGCGATTCGCCGCGAGGTCCTCCCGCGTCCGATCGATGATGGTGTTGCCGCACCGAGGAAGTTCGCTGTGGGAGACTCCAGACGAGATTGGGTGCCGGGAGTGGGCCCGATTGGTTAATCGTTTTGCAAGAGCGTTTCACCGAGCGACGAGATCGGGCGCTTGGGACACGCTCCGTTCACGAACGAGCGAAAGAGCGTCCGATTTCGCGGCGAAGGCGAAGACGACTCGCGCAGCCTAATTCACAAGGACATATAAATATATACACAATATTTTTTCAAGCTCTTTGAGATATGTCGTTTATTCAAATAAGACATTTGCCGAGAAAGTTCGATGCAAAATTATGTATTTTTGTGTGTATATTATTATATATTTATTATGTATAATATTTATATATAAATTATATATTTATATATCCTTGTTTATGTAGTATTTATTATATCTACATTTGTTTATATTTATAATTTATTGTATAAAGTCAATTAAAAAATTTCTACGTAATGTTTCTATATCGAGAGAGGTTTTAATGCAACGTTTTGGTTTCCGGGAAAAAAAAACTTTTTTAAATGCAGAAGGAGTCTACGCGGTTTACGTTTAAAGGCGTGTCGATTGGAACGCCTTGCATGTATGTAACGAAATACGCAATATTTCCTGTTTTGCTTTGGCACTGCAAACGACCCGATACCGGTATCTCGTCCTTTAGCCGTGAATAGAATTTATTTAATGCGACACGTGGAGCGAGCGCATCGGCTTGATGGCTCTCCCGAGCAGAGCGCGGCCGTTTTCGCTGCAGCCGCTTGCAACATCGGGTGCGACGATCGCGCGCGTGCAAGCGGCGCGCGGGGTCGATTTCTTATATTTAGCGTCGGCTAGATTAATAATTTATAGCGTCGCACACGACGGCATACGGCGAGTAAATTTAACATCTGCGACTCTCTTCCGCGCCGCTGTTCACCGATCGCGCGCGACCCACGGAGATATCGACGTGAGGTGAGGTGGATTCCCGATAGTAGAGACGAGCCCGAGATAGTTCTCAGGCTCGTGAAAGCGATAGCGAGCATTTTATTTGTCCAGATGCTTGAACCGGTCAACTCGATCCAGCATTTAAAACTGCGGATCGCTGAGAACGTGATACGCAGGCACGCGTGAAGGTTACATTCTTGCATGTGGCACTTTTACGTTGCATGGCATTTTTGCCCATCGAGCCGTGATCGTGATCGATCAGCGGACTTTACCCTTCTGCTGAAATTCCTCTTGAATCCCAGCCACTGCTGCGTCGAACGTAAATGATAAAAAAAAAGTGGAAAAAAGGCATTTAATTCTATTAATATCACCTGCCTTTTTTAACTTGCTCTTTTTGGAGCTTCCTAGGATTTATAATTTTATATTCTCTTTGGGAGAAACTGGTCTTGAGATTGCGTTAATCCAGAAACGACGGGATAATTTATGGAATAATAAAAAAAAACGTGGCAATGCAGCTCTTTCGAATCGATTAACAATACAGCTCTCCACAAATTTGATATGCGCAATAGATAAATCCTTCAAGTGGACTTCAAGTGGGTTAAATGGAATTTTAATGCAACATTAAATTATTCTCAGACATGAATTTAACCGAAAATTGAAAATACATAAAAAATGGTCTTCGACAAAAATGCTGACAAAGAGTTAAACTTGTGTGATGAAAAGAAATCAACAAACTTTATTCTACATGACGTTAGTTCTTTTTTATTGACTGGTCCTTTGCTGAAGCTGCGAGAGAAATCGCTTAAAAGAAACGATACAGACTTCGTGGCACGATTGGACGCGCGATTCCCGCAAAGTCGGGACTCTCCTTAGAACGAGTCCGCGAATCGAATTACCGAATCCGACGATGACCGCGTCCGGCGAAAGGAAGTCCGTTAGGTGTGCGTGAGGGATGCCTAACTGTGCTCGTCGAGGGTCTGAGCCTCGGTTCCGCGAGGTTTCCTCTCTTCTGCAGGTCTTCTCGCGCTTTCTATCTCGCGCCGCGGCTTTATCGATTCGCGCGGTCTCATCTTGCACCGGTAACACTCGAGAAAAAACGCCGACGCGATCGGCATTCCGCCGCAAAATTAAAAAAAAAAAGAAAAAATGCGGGACATCGCGTTCTGGAAATACATCAGACTTTGTTTCGCGAACGTTGGAACGTCTGGAAATTTAAAAAAAGACTACTAACAATATATAAGTTAAACTGAAGAGGAATTACTAAGTTAATTACGGATATGAATATAAAGCAATGAGAAAAGTAAATTTCTAAGTATAAGATGACGCAAGAAATAATTAAGTAAACATTAATCGTTTATCTTGCGTAAGCAGCGTAAGGCTTATCACCATAACACAATTTCATATCATAATTTTTGCTTAATCAGGTATTTCTCTTTATGCCGATAAGTGCAAACTAGAAAATTGTGTCGACATTGAACGTAAAAGTTTTCGAGTTAATATTACTAATAACAGATAATGTAATCAACATCTTTATTATTATTATGGACGAGTCGGTTACGACCAAAACACGAAACTGCGCGATAAATAATAAACACTGTCCTTTGGATGAGTCTCTTGAAACGATATCGTACTTCGTGTTTCTCTTTCTCCGTCTTATACACAATGCTGTAATAATTCTTATATCATTTTATAGTGTTGTAATAATTCCTACAATATATTTAATTTAAATTCATACATAAATAATATGATTAATATGACATCTTTCGTATGCTGCGTTTAAAGTAAAATTGAAAGATTAATTGATATGACAGCATAACATATTATTTTACAGTGCTGTAATAATTTGTACAATACACTGTTATTCTGTAATATCCAACTCGTATACATAATTAGTATATTAATAAAGAATGCGCTATAATCAGTACGTCACTGCTGCTGCTCATATCGCATTGCGTCGCATTGTTTATTATCTCTAAGACGCAAGCGGTTCTCGCGTTAATCATACGTCTCTCGATAGCGACATCAAATACGCAGCCGAACCGTTATCGTTTCTGAAATAACGATCCTACCACCATTGTTTCAGGCGCAACGACCGGAGCAGAGCGTAATGCAGGCCTTGGAGAGTCTCAATGATTCACAGGTGAATGACTTCTTGTCCGGCAAGGCGCCGCTTAATCTGACGATGCGACTGGGCGACCACATGATGTTGATCCAGCTGCAGTTGTCTACCGTAACCCCGGCATCGCCGACCGCCACTCAAGCAACCTCCGCCAGCAGTAACGGCCACAATCACCACAGCAGCAGCAGCAGCAGCAGTAGCAACAACGTCGCTGGCTTGCCTAACAGTGGTAATGTCACGAGCATGTCCAATTTGTCTGGCGGTCACTCGTCGTTACAGGCCAGAAGATGCCTAACGGCCAGATCACCGGGAAATATCGTCAAGCCGCAGAACGCCGCCGGGGCACCGGCTGGCAGAACGTCGCATCTAATTAGCAGCCTCGCCAGCGCCCTACACGCAGCTGCCAGCTACAGCAGCAGCAGCAGCAGTCTACCCACCGCCAGTATCACTACCACGACCACCAGCCCGGTATGCTCCAGCCGGGTCACAACATCCTCCACGTCCGTCTCGGCGGCGCCAATTAGCCCGACGCATTCGTCGTCATTGTCGTCCAGCGGCAACTCGGGCCAGTCTACGCGTGGCAATTCGCACGGCGTCCCACCTACGAATGGCAATTCTTCCAGCGCGTGTCAGCCCTGTCCGCTCTATCATCATCATCATCATCACGGCCATCATCACGGTCATCACCATGGTCACCATCATCACCACCACCACCATCACCATCATCACCATTCGAGAAACAAACCTAGCTTGCCCAACCTTTCCTCTTCTTCTTCCTCCTCCTCCTTCAGTTCGGGTTCGTCCCCGATTCAGGAGCAGCCTGCCTTGGAGCCGATGTCCTACGACGCGACGCTACCCAGGAAGAAGCTCTGCAGCGGCCATCACCATCACGGCCAGCCGTCGTCGTCCGTTACCACCAGTAGTGGCGTAGACGCCACGAGGAGTCAGCACGAGGAATCGAATCCGCAGAGCCCGACGTGCGCCTCATCGCTGATGCTGGAGCAGTCGCCGCCCAAGCCCGCCACCCTCGACACCCGGGCGCTCGCCGAGGCGTCTCGGAACCTCACCCAGAAGCTGAAGCAGCTCTCCTCTGAGGTACTCACCTCGCGGGTCGACCTCGCAGAGGTATACATTGTTACCGAAGCCAGTTCCCCCCTGTGTATCATTATTCATGATTCATATTCGTGATTGCACGTCGATTAAGGTCCTAAGAGGTGTGCCGTGATCGTATATCCGGTCTAGCCGCGAACTGAATTATCTGTCACGATCTGATTTTTTTACAAATTGGACTGTCTGTCTGTCTCAGTAAGACGGAATTCTTTGCTGATATTGAATTTATTCCTTGACCGTGGATAAGAATTTACAAAAATGAATTCTTTTACTCATATACTCTCAGGTCCTTAAAATTATCATATTTATGTACTATGTACTCAGTGTTACTTTATATTATTATTATTAATGTTAATGACATTTAAACATTACTGTACAAAATTTATTCTATACAAAAAGTGAAGTGCATATTCTCAATTAATATTAATATTAATATAATACTAATGTCATATTGCACTTTTTAAAAAAATATTCTAAGTTTAACATTACATCAGCGTCTAAAATTTCTATTTTGTTTTGATACTATATAAGTATATAATTTTATGTAGATAAACTTAACATCAATAAAAATTTAATTATACTTTATGTTCGTAAGCTTGAAGAGAGCCTTATCTCATAAGAGAGAAAATTTGAATTCAGATTTTTTTATTCTAAAAAAATTGTGTATGTCAGATATTTAAAAAATTTGTAAATTTAAAATTATTTTTAAAAATATAATAGAAAGAGAGAAAAGGGGGAAGGGGTAGGATATATAGAAACCAATTGTTATAGTCTGCTGTCAAACGAAAATAGTATATCATCAGAAAAGTATTTCGTAAGTCATCCTACATATGTAGGAAAGCAATTAAGGGCATGGATACATTATGGATACGGCACAGAATCTGACGTGTCTCTTTAAATTTAGGAGAACGCGAGACGCAGGCAAGGCGCTATAATAGAGAGTATGCATCATCATGGCAAGGGCGTGTATTCGGGCACGTTCAGCGGCACGCTGAACCCAGCCCTCCAGGACAGACACGGTCGGCCGAAGCGGGACATTAGCACCATCATTCACATCCTGAATGACTTGCTCTGCGCGACACCGGCCGCATCCGCAGGCCACTACAGGCATCATCATCACAGGCATTCGCATACCCGCCAGCAATCCTCCTCGATGTCCGCATCCTCCGCGGGCATCGCAGCCGCCGCGAGTGGATCCACCACGTCGGTCGGCTGTCACGATTCCACACCAGGCTACTCCAGCGGTGTGCACCTATGAATTTATATCGAATAACACTTTCAAATAATAAGACCTGAGAAAAGGTTTCGTAATATATTTAATGTGCAATGCGTAACATGTATATATAATTTTATTATATATATTTAATACCTTGCAATTATATAACGTACGTCGTTATTTTTGCAAAAGATGTATAACTTTTTAAGAGATATCTTGATACAATTAATCTCCATTAATACTAATACGTCGCGTGGTGTTTCCAATGCAGAGGAATTGTCGAAGGAGAACGAGGCGACGAAGGGCAAGATGCGTCGGTTGCGTTTAGTCATGGAGCAACGTCGCGCTAAGAGAAAAGCCAGGCGACAGGCGCGAGCGGCGCCGTACACCACGCAGTGGGCAGCGATGACTCCCGCCGACCCGAACCACGAGCCGAACACGTCGACTGCGACCTCGGGCACCACCACCACCGCTAACAGCGCGGAGCCGCAAAACGAGCCGGAGCTTCAGCCGTGTAGCCCCGAACCGGTCGTAGCTTAAATACCACGTCACTGGCAGTCAATTCACGGCACAGTAGTATCCTCTATATTCGTACACATAGGGTATGATTGTCGTTCGCGTTTCTACCTATCGCACTGATTTATTCCGATGGAAGAGAATGCAGGATCGAACGTGTCCTATTCACAGCAGTTACATCCGTTCCGTACAACTCTCATTCCGCGCAACCAAACGCTGCAAAACGTTCTAAATGTTTTGATTTGACACCTATTTTTGTTGATACCCCGTACACGATCATTACCGCGGATCCGCTGAGTTTCTCTCCGTATTATGCAAGTGTCTCGCTTTCTCCGATTCGCATTACCTTATGCAAATAGACGTAATTCACGAAGATTCGCTGGCTGACGGATTGAGAGATGAACTCCAATCATTTGTCCTTTCCTTCTAACGCTCAGAATCGTCCCTCAATTAATGTAACATTCCTTTTCTATTTTCTTTTTTTTTACAAATATCTTGTTTTGCAGAGTTCTGTTCTTAGGATCAGGAATCTCTCTTTTTTTGTCACCTGTCTTTAAATTCCTTTCTGCGATGCAACAACATCGCATGCGTCACGCATTAATATACAGTCGTCCCACAAAAAAAACCACTTGCAATTCATCTTCATCCACGAACACATCGTTCCAACTCAATCGCGTTTGCTTATTACTATCATCAAGGCACAATGACAACGCATCACGATGATCACACGAACGTTTCCCATGACGCGGACGGCATGCGAAGCGCGTCGGGGCATTTGAGTGTCTATGAAAATGATCGTGCGTGGCGCTATGGTTATATATTAGGCAATATATAGTGTTACCGCTATAATAAAAAAAATTTATATTACATATATTACATATATATCATTACTATTATGTGTATTTAGCGTAACGAAATACTGGGTATCTTACGGCTATCGTTTTCGAACGTTGATAAAACGGTGATCTCGCAGTGTTTGGCCGGACTCAGGACTTGATCGTAGTTGACAATAATTACGCTCGGCGAATGAATCAGTGTGACGGTTTTATGTATCTGTACATCGACATCGCGCGGGAAGTCGATGAATCGTTCTGAAAGGGAGAGAGAGAAAGATTGAGAGAGAGAGAGAAAGAGAGAGAGAGAGAGTGAGTGAAAGAGAGAGAGAGAAAAATAGAGAGCAAAAGCTCTTATTAAGGCTCCT